ATTTCTTGCGATTTGAAAATTGTGCTCTATCAGATGCAGTTTCATTATAAAAATAATTAAATCATTCAATCCTTGTGTGATTTTTGACATCTATGCTCTGATTTTTTTAGCTTTTGATAGTGGATGGATGCATCAGGCCATTAGTTACTTATTAATGAGTGGATTCATATGTTTTTATAAAGGTATACTTTACTATAAGCTCTAAGTGAAATGAATTTGACTCTCTAGCCTTTTGCATTTGCACTTTCCATTTGCAGCAGTTGTGAGACTCATATATTCACGCCCTCTTGATCCAACATGCCACCCTTTGACTATCTAATCTCATTCATATATATACACACACACCCTTACCCTTCCTGAAGTGCCTTTCCTCTGAGATCACCACTTACAGAGCAACTGTGGATTTGGTGTTCAGAGCCATCGTATAAAACAAAACCACTTCCTCACATTTGGGGAAATAAAAGAATGTTCTGAAAGGGGATTGAAGCTGCACACATTTTTCAGATGGATTGAAAACAGATTTTTGAGAGTTCTCCTCTGCTGAGGTTTGGTTACTTCAGAAATTATTCTGTTTATTTCAGTTCTCACTGGTCAACATCCATGCATTCCAATCAACACTCAAACATCCAAATACATATCTGTCTTTGGTCCTCAGTGTTACTTTTTGATTGCGTTTTTAAAAAATGTGGTATTGATTTGTACTAAACAAAAGCAATATCTTAAAAGAACCATGAAGAACCTTTTAGTGGATTTGTGCTGACGTCACAGATGCTAAAGAACCGCCACATATTGTATACAAAGGCTTTTCCAGTGTGTCAAAGCGAAGAACCGTTTAGGTACCTTTATTTTTCAAACTGTAGATTGGTTTGTTCTCGCATGATTCACTCTGCTTCTCTTCTTGTGGCCTTCACAGCATGGGGTCCCTTAATCAGAACCCCAGGCTCTGCATCATACGCAAATAACCTTCATCTCAGTGGTCCGCTGGTTTTGGCAGACAGATGGAAATGAAAGAATTAAGTCTGAGAGCACTGCTGTTTTGATGGCTGTATTGCATAGTTAGTCTCATCACAGAAAATTATACCTCATCACAGTTTCAGCTTGTCCTTCTGTGTCTGGAGGCAAAAAATATTGTCTAATAGAACTTCACAATAAAATAAAATGCTAACATAAATGCGATTATATTGCCACTAATTGTGTAACATCGTATTGTATCTTCACATCACATGATGGAGCATATCATACAGATTCAGAGTGATGCAATGAAACCCATTATATTGTATCATCGTATCTTAACTTCATATTCTGTTATGTCTTGCGCATTAGCCTAATTTGAACATATTAGCCTCTGGCTAACAAATTAGCTTAGTGTTAATCTATTAGCACATAAGTAGTGCATTAGTTTATGTTTAGCATTTTAGCACTTGGCTAGTGCGTTACTTTGTACTTAACATATCAGTGCCTGGCTAGCGAGTTAGCTTGTTTTTAACCTATAATCTCATGGCTAGTGCATTTGCTTGTGGTTAACATTTTATCTCTTGACTACAGCATTAGCATATTATCTCATGGATAGTGCACTGGTTAATATGTTTAGCTAATATGTTTTAAACTTGTAACTTGTATGTTATGGTTAATATGTCAGCTTGTGACTATCGTGTTAGCTTTGGATCAGCTCTTGGCTAGCCCATCGTATTGAGGTTAACATTGAGGTTAACATTTAAGCTCCTGGCTAGCAAGTTAGCTTGTGTTTTAAAATTGTAGCTCATAATTAGTTCATTGGCTCATGGTTAACATATTAACATGTGGCTGTCCTGTTAGCTTGGGGTTTCCTTATTAGTTCATGACCAGCGAGTTAAGATACTAGTTTATGGCTAGCTTGTAAGCTTGGGGTTAACATATTAGCTTGTGGCTAGTGTTATCTCAGGGTTGATATATTAGCTCGTGGAGAACGCACTACCCTGGAGTTAACATACTAGCCAATACTTATCTCTGAAAACTCTGAAATATTAATAATAATTTTCATTTTAGGTATCTTCATTTTTGTTATATTGGTAAATGTCTTGATTCAGTTCATTTTTTAATATTGCAAACAAAAGTGGTACAATACTGTATTGTGTTGTGTTGTACCAGATACTTTGTGAATTGCTACACCTATGTCTCTCTTTGTTCAATGTACGTTAATACATTGATTCATTAAAACATCCTCTGGAACTGTGATTGGTCGGGATGCTCACATTGCTGAAATATTTTGATTGGTTAAGGGGTTATTTTGTTATTAAAGCCTTCTGCAATAGTGGTTTTGCAAAATATCGTGAAAATGATTAACAGACTATATTTTTTGCGGCCCCGTTGTGTAGTGTTCTCATTTGACTAATTACTAATGAAAAGCGTTGATGGAAACATGGCCTGTTTGTGAGAACATTACTCACTCTTATTCAACAATATTCCTCTAAACATCCTTTGCGACTTTTAAACCCTGCGTACAATGCACAAAGAGGTCCTATTGTGAGCGCCTGTTCCTGCGTTGTTCCTGAAAAAAGCTGCTTCTAATTCGCCGAAAGCACAGATCCATTTTAAACACTGTACAAACCCCCTAAAAATAGTTTTATTCAAATGTGCTGTAGGATCTAGTTATGCGAGGACACACTGAACCTTTGTTTTTTTCGGGCTAGATGCTTGGTAGCCGGGCACCAACTATTCACTAAAAAGAGGGGCATCTCGACCCGTCTGTGTGTCTGTTCATGTGTGAGGCGTGGGGTGTGTGTGTGTGTGTGTGTGTGTCGGGGGGGTGTTAGGGTGGTGAAGAAAGAGGCCAGTAAAGAATAGGGTCGCTCTATTTTTCTCCTGGAGCTGATATAAATCAACCTTCTCCATCTCATGCCAACGTAGCAGCTGTTGCTTTTCATGCCCTTTACCCATTCTTTCAGACTGTCTATTTCCTGTGAGGGTGCGCGATAAGTCACATTTTTAGATACGTGTTTCCTTGATAAACAACTTGTTTATGGGCTGCAATTACAGAACAGTTCAAATCTCTTAATTGCTTATCATAGAAGATCTTACAAAATATACTAAGGGCATATTTTGAATCATTTGATTCTTAATTTTCCGTTTGTTGGATTACATGAGTACAATAATTTATCAAAACACCTACAGAAACTCATCTGGAGCTCTGATTGGTCAGGATGCTTACATTGCTCATGGTTAGAGGCTTATTTGCCTGTTGCAGCCCTCTTCAGTATCGGTATTGCAAAGTATTGCTTTAACAATTAACAAATGATAAATCTCTTATTACAGTGCTAAAAATAACAGTTGATACGTTAAGAAATGGATAAACATCCAGTCAGACACTATTTTAATCATAATTTTTCTTATGTCATTGTTGTGATGTTCAACAGCTTTATCGAGCCTCACATTAAATGTCTGTATCTCGCAGGCCTAGTTTCCTGTACACACACAACCAGCCTTTAAAGATCTACCAGCCTGACAGACCTGCCTTTCAGAACTCCTTAAGGTCTAATTCATCCTTCTTTAGATAGTTTTAGCTCCTCCTTTTGCTGTAAATCTGATTGAGAAAGAGAGAAGGGTACAACGCCAAGAGCACACTGACTCAACATTCCCCAGTAAACACCAACAAAAGCAAACACTGGGTTTTGTGCCTTACCTGTTCTCATTCAATGTCCACATTCACACTGGTTCATTTGGCTTAGTGCTTTCTCAGGAATATTTTTGATGTGAATGTCAGTGGAGTTTGTTGGAGTATGTTGGACCTTGGTGGAAAACATTCATGTTTATTGGTGAATGTTTGTGTTTGATGGACAAAGATGCTGTTTTGAGGATAAATATTAGTGTTCTGGTGGAGATTTTTTGGTGTTTTGGTGGGGAATGTTGTCATTTTGATGGAGAATGTTGGTGTTGGAGATTGGCAGTGTTTGGGTGAAGTGTAATGTTTTAATGGAGAGTGTTGGTGTTTTAATTGAGAATGTGCTTGGTGGAGAATGCTGGGCTTCTGGTAAATAATGATAGTGTTTATTGGTGATTATTGGTGTTTTAATGATGATGCACATCACTAAGATGTAGTGCTACCTTAAAAGTCTCAGTCAGGAAGATCTCCAAAACCAGTGTCTGACAGGGAATGATGGTGGCCGGTGGTGTGTGGTGGTGAATGTAGGTGTTTTGGGGGGCAGTGTTAGCATTAGTGCAAGAATGATGGAATTTGGGAGGAGAGTGTTTTGCTGAAAAACAGTGACACTAATTGAGAATGTTTGTGTTTTGGTGGAAAGGGTCGTCTTTGGTGAATGTTGGTGTTCACTGGATAGTGGTGGCGTTTATTGGAGAATGTGCTTATGTTTAGTTGGAGAAAATTGGTGTTTACTAGAATTAGTGGAATGTGTTGTGGAGATTTTTGGTGTTTGGTGCACAACATGCAGTGTTGCCTTTACTGTCTCAGTCAGGAAGATGAGAAAAATCTCCAAAACCAGCTCAGCAGTTGCTCTCAGTTTACTAAAAACGTCAGTGGTCCTGCCCTGGGGCTGTAACGTGAAGATGGCAGTTTAGTTTTGTTTTTTTAGCCTCACCAGGTCTCTGTAAAACGTCTCTGAGGTGAGCAGTGAGCTGTCTCAGAAACATTGTGTCCTCTTGGTTGCCAGGTGCGTTTTCTTTTCTAAAAAGAAAGAAGAATGCTTCTAGCTGCTAAAGACAAGATATAAATTACTTTTACTATAAGAAGGTGGAGTCTAGTGACAGTAATCTCCAACAGGCCGAATCACTTAAGCGTTTTCAGCGAACTAAAGAATGTTTTAGAAATGCTTTAAAAACATGGAAGGTCTCTCATTTGTTTCAGATGGCTCCAAGGCACGTTCCTCACCCTGTTATTACTGATGATGGTAATGACTGGGAACCTTCACATGCTGCTGTTGGACTGTTTTTGCCTTGTTGCTGTTTTGCAGTTTTAAAAAAACTAAATTAACCATTGTCTCTCTCTGCTGCATTCTTTTGTGTTGCAGATGAAGAGGAAGTTGGACCATGGCTCCGAGGTTCGACCTTTCCCTTCAGGCAAAAAGCCCTGTCCAAGGTAAAAATTCGCTCTGAAAGTGGAAAAACCATTCGAGTAATTAAGCTGATATAAGAATGAGAAATAACAAGTTATACAGTCGTTGCGGTGTAAACAGAGTAGTTTGGTGCAGAAGCATTTAAGTGTCACATGTGGGAACAGGGGGTTAACCAGCACGGTGCAATTAGTAAATAGCCTAAACAAAATGCTAACTTAGTAATTAAAAGATGTAAGTAATTTTTAACAGCAAAATAAAAAATATTCACTCTGAGTAGTTGTGAAGCTACCAATCATGTGAACAACACACGAGTTGCATTCACTTAGGCTACAGAAACAGAGGAGGCTGCAGACTGTTAGAAGGCCGCAGCTGTGGAAAGTGCTCTTAACAAAGGCAAATACACGACAGTCAAGCCAAATAAAGGCAAGTCTGACATGTGGCAGTCAATTTAATTTGTGAATGACACAAGTATTTGGATCTGCAAGCAGGAGTGGGTCAAAACGTTGAAGTTGCAGGTGGGAGTGGGACAAACGGTGTAGGTTTTCTGTGGGAGCAGGATGAAATCTTGTGGGAGTGGGACTGAAAAATCAGTTGTGCCTGAGAAAGCAGTGCTAGTGTGGCTTTTTCAGTAACTAGCTCTAGCTCATGTTAGCTAGATCCAGGAACAGTGAAAATATGCATCTCTGATAAAACTAACCTCTTGGTACATCATCCACTAAGGAGAAAAGATCTTGTGTAGAAGATAACGAGTCCTAATCCATGTCCCATGTTGTACCTGTTAGCTGTAGTGTTAGCATTAGCTCATCCAACACAAAAGCCTACCAATGTCCTTCAGCTATTTTTGAATAATAAAACATTTCCAGTTGTATTACCACAAAATTTTAATAACCAAATATCTGTTCGCTAATTGTTATGAATACTAATATCAAAAGTAGTCAGAATGCATATCTGTAGCTTAAGTCAAATTGATGCCGTGATAGTTATAGGTGCGTTATCAGCAGTGTCTTTGCCCTGGGCCATTGATATTAGCCAGTATTATCGGCCAGTGGATACATCTGTTGGGCTCTTGTATTTAAGGGTCTGTTTTTAGCAGGATCTCGGCTGTTCACCTCAGCTTCACCCATTTTAACTAGAGAGGCTGAACTCAGTTGTAATTAAATAGGGGTTCCACAGCAGCTCCCCCCTCTTTCTACACCACCTTCATTCCTTCAGTTCAATCCATTAATGATTCCTCTGCCTTCTGCCTTTGAAACAATGTTTATTACATTCTCCTTAACAGTGCCTACTGGGATTTTAGAGGCGGTCTCCCCGAGGCCCGCTCGGCTAATGGAGTTTTAGTTTTTTGCCAATGAGAGTTCTGGGGGCCGTATGAGTAATAGTTTTTGTTTGAAAATCTGACTTTGCTTTGGGGAAAAACAATTTAGATGATGCATAATTGGATGCTTTTGGATGAATATTAGCATGGCGAATAGTCTCAATAACTGTTTCTTATCATACAGTCACACAGGCTCAAATGATATGAATATTGTGGCTCTACCCATTTTAATGAGCTAAGAATTCTGGTTGAATCAATTTCAAATAGTCAAAAGTCAAATAAACAACACGTACGTTTTTTTTTTTTCTCAAATAATGTAAATGTTGTAGCACATAGGGTGAAGCATACTGAAGTATTTTAGCAGTTTTATTTGATATCTGTTCATTACCTCTTAGTTTTCATAACGTTTATCAAATTTGTTGTTAAATCCTCCAAAACTCTGTGTTATAATAAGAAGTCATTAATTTGTCCTGTCACAGCTATTACTTAATCACCTATATTGCAGTTTAACCTAATCGCAGACATTTAAGCTGATCGCAGTAATTTTCTGCTGACTAAGGTTTATGTCACAACAAACAAAATGCCAATTTGGTGCATTTTCATTTGTTGGATAGAAGAAAATACATTTATTGAGTCATGTGTCTTGTGAAAATCAAAGTTCTTACGTCTGACTTTCACTCTAACGCCTTTAGAGGGAAGCGTAAGAGTAATGTAAACAGGGAGTTGTGATGTATCGGCAGCTTAGTTAGCCACTTCAGACTTGTAGTGAAAAAGTTTCATACAATGTATAAAAAACACAAGTTGTAAATTGCAGTTATTTAGGTGGTGCATCATTGTCAGATTAAAATTCACTATTGTGACAGGCCTAGCCATTAATTAGCAGAACTTTTTTTCAGTGTGATTTTTACAGGTATTGCTAAACCCGACAGACCTTAGTATCAGCTGGTATTATAGGCTAAATAATATATCAGTCTTTCTCTCACCGCTTCATCAGTTTCTCTCTTTATTTTCAGTCCGACGGGTTTGGTCCCGTACCCGTCCACCCCCACTACGTTTGGCGACCTGCGGGCGGCTAATGGTCAGGGTCAGCAAAGACGCCGCATCACCTCCATACAGCCTCCCACCGGCCTGCAGGAGTGGCTCCGGACCTTTCAGGTAAGTTACAGGTGTAAACCTCTGATTTGATTTAATTTGCTATTCTTTAGGAAACAATTCGGTGAAATCGTGAAGTCTCAAATTTTGCCATGATTTAAAAGGGATGAGCTATTTACAGTAGATGAATATAGACAATAAAAACACTTACACACTTGTTTTCCATTTGAAAATAGCTTGAGACTTTTATTTTGACCAAAAATGAATACATATATTATTGAACACATGAACAAAAATGTATCTTAATATTCCAAAATCAGTGCAGTTGAATCGCCACTTTCAGTGGGTCATCAGACTAAAATGCTAAAGTAACACCTGTTGTAGCTCAGTGTGTCAGCTTGCTTTGTTTAAAGGTTTAGCCAGCATTCCTCAGGAAATTTGTGAACATCTGGTGCACTGCTTGCAGTGTCTGAGACCCCATGTATTAGCCTGTGGAACTGTAGCAGGATGTTGGTGCAGTTTCTTCATGCAGAGGAACCACTTCTGTAAATTGAACTCCTCAAACTGCTTTCACTGTGATAGAGGTGAAATTAAGGGTGGTCCATATGGCAAAATTATCACAATACACAATATGTTTCACAGTGTTGAGCTTTTCCTGCGGTACAGCAGTAGTGTCACATTTTAAAAATGCTTTACCAGTAAATATCAGTGCAAATATATCACAACTGCTAATTATTCTCTTATTTTACACCTGAAGAAGAGTAGTTCACCCTTTGTAACATAAATAAGTGTATATTATGACATAATTCTTTGGCAGTAACATTAATAGCACTATGTAATCACCAATTTTTCCCTTATTGTACTTCTGCAAATAATTTATACTTTTTAATTTGAACAAAAGCGTATCTTAAAGGTAATATATGTTGATGGCATTATTAAGCTACTGCAGTGCTTCCAGTTATCCTCTTTAATTTTGAAAATGGGTGGTTTCTTCCGCAAAATATAAGTACAGTTTTAGTATAACGGAAATTATTGTGATGAATATATATATTGCAACGCTGCTCTTTAAAATCATTCTGAAAATTGCTTAAAGGGAATAGTTTCTACTTTGTAATGTAAAAAAATGAAAAAGTGTTAGGACATAGTTTGTTTGTGATAACGTTATACATCATTACACTACAAATGTGTGATCATAACACACCATAACTGCAAGTTATCCTCTTATTTTACATCTGAAAATGAGTAGTTTCTGCTTCATAATGTAAATAAAAGCATATAGTGCCATCATTTATCATGACATAACATATTTGACACCTTTATTGCCAGTTATGCTCTTACTCTATATCAGAAAAGGGCGCTTCTGCTACACAGTCTGAAAGCACAGCCCTCCAGGCTGGGATTTAAGCAGCCCCCATAAGTACAAGCTTGCAGCGCTGCAGTTGTCATTCTAAAAGTGTCTGTTCAGAGTCTTTTCTTATTTTTTTCATCCGCCTCTAGCAGAGTGTCCTTCCCTCTAAACTGAAAACCTAACCCCCTGCTGACTCAGCCAGATCGTGCAGCTCCATCCGGCCGTCGTTTGCTCGGTGTTGTGGGTAATTGCGGGCTTGTTTAGTGCTCTCTGTGTAAGCGTAGCCAGCCTAGCGTGGAACAGCGCACACCTGCGTGACCACATAGGATGAGGAGAGATGTGGCTTTAAGATACGCTGAACAACGGTATGGGTCATAATACCGACAGATTTAGACCAGTTATAGAGCCTGTAAACAACAGCCACTGTGCATTAACTGCGTAAAATACGTAGTAACAGTGTAGCTGATTGGATGGGTGCCCATTCTGATGTCATCTTATTTTGTTCTTTTTGGTTTTTCTGTTTAAACAAAAACTAAATATTGTGTCTTTAAGTATTGTGATGTTTTATTTTTGCTGAATCGCCCACCCTCCTCTGTTGTTGCTTTTTGCTTTCTCTCTCCAAAACCCAGTTGAATGTGATGAATTGTTGCTTTGGTGTTGAGCTGTAGGCTGTTAGATTTCAGCCTTTTTTTATTGTGATACTTCAGAAATATTGTAATCTGTATCATGTGATGAAAATGTGCATCACCCAGCCCTTATTTCACGCTCATCCTTTGGTGCCATTCTCTCCTTGTAAAGGAGAAAGGCCTAACTTCCTGTTTGCTAAAGTAATCCATTGAAGCCACAAGTGTTGCTGAAATAGCTGCCAGTCGTTTGCCTGCAGGCGACATCAAATGGCATCGACGTGAGTCATTAGTCAGCAGCCCAGACAAGAATCAATATTCCACAACAATCCTGTGTAGCCTGTTTGTTTATCTACCCCTCACCCTCTTTTCAGACTAAAACAGCTCGTACTGTTTATTTATTTATTTATTTATTTAAGGGCCAGTAACATTGGAAAAACAGTTTTTGATGACATCAGAATGTCTTCTTTTTTTAAATTAGAGTTGATCTAGTGTGTTTCACCTTCATTCCACAGTCCATACAGACCTTTCATAGAAACAAAGATGCAAAAACAGTCCACTTTGAATCCACTATTTCTGTGATATCATATTAATTTTATTAATACCAACAAATGAACTTTATTAATGCTAACTTATTCCTTTTAGTAATGCTAGCCTATTACCTTTACTGATAAATAGGCTCATTAGCTTTATTATTACCCAGTTATTAACTTAATTAATGCCAGCTTATTAACTTGACTGTATATCGCCTGATACTGTGATATTTTTGGAAATATTGATTGAATTTTATCACAATAGCTCATCCCTATGCGTGCATGGAATCTTTTTAGGTCTTTTTAAGTGTAGCTTAATTGATTTTTACAAACATGAATCACTGCTGTTGAACATTTCACAACAATTACAGTTCATATTTCTCATTGGTAGATGTTCTCCTCATTAGACCTGCCTTTAAAAAGGGTCTGTTTGTACAGTTTGAAACCACAGTGTCCTTCAGCCGCCTCAAGGCCATGGCCTTAAATCAGTTACATGTTTGAGGAATCTCAATCACGCTCTTCACATTCTTTCTTACTTTCAGTCCAGTTTAAACTAGTGAGTGTAGGTCCCTCCCTCCATTTTCCTCTAGCACAGAGAATCCTGAGAGTCCTGATAGAGCTGTTAAAAAGCAGGTGTGGTCCTGCAGACAGATCCTAATCTGAAATTCATGAGGGTCAGTTACTCACAGTCAGTGTTGGTGCAGTCTGAAGTGGAATAATGGACAATACTGCATTATTTAAGAGATTCGATCATAAGATTATAAGTGCACATGTTAATGCGAGCTTGGTGTTGAAATGAGGTTGATGAGTATTTTTTATTTACGACTTTATTTCATTTTTATATGTGCAGCATATAAACATCAAAACTACTACTACTATTTCATTTTTATATGTGCAGCATATAAACATCAGGTATTGGACATCAAAACCATTAGACTTTAAGAAGCCAATATTCTGTTTTTTTTTTCCCTCTGAAATCTACTTAGAACATTTATGTGGCTTAAAGGGTGCATATCCTACCTTTTTCTTTTCTTTTCTTTTTTCCCTGGAGGTCAATTTATAACAATTGTGGAGGTTTATGTACCAAACAGCATAATTCATTTTGACATGATCATTTTCCTGCTTCTCCTCATCCCTTAGAATTAAACAGGCTGTTTCTGTTACTGTTCCTTTAAGACCGATGTGTGTAGATGAGCTCTGTTCTGATTGGCTGTGCCTCATGCTTAAAGAAGTCCAGACTCAAAACATTTCGTTGTGAATGGGCGGAGTTAAGCTACTGTAGGCCTTTTTTTATAAATATGTTACGTTCAGGGCAGAATGAAATCATTATTGATTATTGTTGATATCAAATGACATGGACAAATATTGTGATAAGATTTTTGACCAAATGATCGATCCCTTAGGTCAGTGTCTGTCTGATGGCCTGCTGACTTGTAACAGTACAAGCATAATTGGTTGTGGTTTGAATAGAAAGGGCTCTGCTGTTACTGATTGCATTTGAGGATTGTAGAGCTTTTTATAGGTTCCTAAATGCATATCCAGCAATTAATACAAACCTCTCTCACTAATTGTTGTTGATAGAGCGATGCAGAGACAAATACACACCCTCATATTAGGTTGCATTTTTGATTATTTGCGTTTATATACGTTTCACTGACTAATCTGTGCGTTTGTGCAGAGCTGGAGTGGGCCGGAGAAACTTCTGGCGCTGGACGAGTTGATTGACAGCTGTGAGCCCACGCAGGTGAAGCACATGATGCAGGTGATCGAACCGCAGTTCCAGCGAGATTTCATCTCCCTGCTCCCCAAAGAGGTGCGTACGCACTCACATTTGGTTTTTATATTTTGTCTGCACCAGGGCGTTGTGCGCATACCCCTTACATGAATTATATGTATATGTATGTACATGTATCATATGTTATAAATAACACTGCTGTGACCTTATGTCTTGTTCTAAGGACCCTTTTCACTGGTCTGTTAATCATGAACACATTGTATTCCGACATTTACTCTATACACATATAGACTATATATATATATATATATATAATATGTATAGAACACATTGTACTCCGACGAGATATACATATGTGTGTGTGTGTTATGTAAATAAGTATACGTGTAATAATATTACCATTTTAATAAGAATGTTTTCTCTGACGTTACCAGTCTGGACTTCTTTTGCAGTAAAAATGTACAAAACGCATACAGGACTGCTTTAGGCTGTACTGCAGCACTTAATACATCCTGTACTTTCTGTGGGTGTAGCCAGGTGTGGAAAGTAATTGCATAAGCGTAAAGAATTATGGGATTGCACAGACATGTATAAGTCTCTCCTCCGCCGGCGTGTTTACATACATAATTATGTACAGAGAAAAGGTTTGGGGAGGGCATTACAATCAGACGATCAGTTTAATCTGAAAGGTATTTCTGTGAAATGGCCTAAAGCGTAGGATTGTTACTGTCAACGGATGAAGTATGAATCCCTCTCTCTCTCTCTCTCTCTCTCTCTCTCTCTCTCTCTCTCTCCCCCTCTCTCCCTCTTGCTCTCTCTCCCTCTCGATCTCTCTCTCAGTTGGCCTTGTACGTGTTGTCGTTTCTGGAGCCGAAGGATTTGCTCCAGGCTGCTCAGACGTGTCGATACTGGCGCATCCTGGCGGAAGATAACCTCCTCTGGAGAGAAAAGTGCAGAGAAGAAGGTGAGCCAATCATAGCGCTCCAAACAGCACAGAACCTTCGACTGACAGCACAGTTTAAAGAAATAACTACCCCTGGCCATAGGGCAGCGTTCTCTAACACATTGGCTGTGTCTCAAAACGCATAGTTCTGTAGCATACTAGTAGTTGTAGCGCAAACAGTGCTTTCACATTGGTCAAGATTAGATTTTTTTTCTATCTTAAAAATGCTCTTTATTCAGAGCTCTGATTCCTTTATTCAGAGCTCTGATTCCTAGTAGAACTTTCTCAGCCCTTGCCACTGCCTAATAAAATAAACAGCAAAAATTACAAATAGAATTTATAAACTCTTCAGAAAAAGCCCAGTCATTAGATTGTGTGGGTGTGTCCAAGACCCACCTACATGCCTAGTTTTCATCACTGACATTGAAAGACAGTACATGAGACATCCTCTGAAGAGAGTGAGGGGCTTATCAGACAGACAGTTTTACGCTTTCATTCACTTTCAAGCACTCATTTTTTAAAAGGATGCTATACTGAAATCAACACACTCGTGTTAGTGTACTGTTAATACATGGATGATGTTTCAAATGTGAGTTAGACGTCTTTATCCATAAATAAATCTTATGCAGTATTACTTGCAATAGGCTGTTTGTGATTTGCAGCTACTGCTAAGAGTTAGAACAGTTACCTGGCATGTAAAAACTAAGTTAGCATGCTAACATTAACTAACTGTGAGAATCAGTAATGTGAGATCGCTTTTGTGTGGTATCCCTGTTAGCAAAAATGTTACTTTACAACCATTTAACACTTGATTCCACTCAGACATTTAGCAAATGATATATGGTAGAGCAGGAAACAATAGAGGTTATGAAATGCTGTGCATTTTAGTGTGTTTTGTACACCAACACACACAATTCAGTAATTAACCCATTTTAATTAGTGTAATGAGTTGAATTAGCGGAGTTGGACCAGTTAAAACAGGTACAGTGTTTGTATTCAAGAGAATTTCTGATCTGCTCCAGTTAGTACACAGTGGTGTAATGTAATGGACAGAGATTTTACTTTTACTTACATAACATGATTTACCATCCTGGGCAGCAAAGCCCAGATTTACTGAGTCCTGCAGCTAATACAGAAACTATTAGTGTCCACACAGGTTTTACAAAGAGAACAAATAAGTGCTGTTTCTAGGGGTGTAAATCTCCTGAGGTCACAAAACAATTCAGTACATTATGAAATACATTTAGTTAATTATTTATTTATTTATTTTACAGTTGAAAATGGCCTGAGAATTTGTGTCCAGTTGTTAAAGTTTGAGCACCCATGAATGAATTACGTGTTATGAAAACAAGTTGATACATCCTCTACAGTGAACACACTTAAATGAACATATTGGAGAAACTAAAATACATAAAATATAAAATGTGCCGTAACTTTTGCACAGGCCACATTTAATGTTTTAATTTTCTCAGTTTGTTAAATTTAGCAAATAAACAGCAATTGTTCATTAAAATGTGCAGATGTATGTTCTTTATAGAGGATGTGTTCATTTTTCCTTAGAAAATCAGCGCAACATGGAATTTGGTTGGCCAGACTTCTGCAAACAGTTGTATATTATAAGATTCTAATAAGTTCAAATTGAATATTATAATAAATCAATGTAATAGAATAACCACCTTCAGATTTGATCTTTACCCCCTTTCAGTTATTGACAATAGAATTAAGACAATTAAAATTAATCATGCTTTTAATATTTAAACTTTTTGTTCCATTGCATATTATTACATATTAGCTGTAGATCTAACATCAAGTGAGTCACTGTTTGCGCATGAAGTTCTTTTTTTTTATACTTTATTTTTTTTTGCCTTGTTTGTTCAGGTATCGATGAGCCGTTGCACGGTAAGAAGAGGAAAGTGGTAAAGCCCGGATTTAGCCACAGTCCGTGGAAGAGTGCTTACATCAGACAGCACAGAATAGACACCAACTGGAGGAGAGGAGACCTCAAATCACCCAAGGTCAACATCTACATGTGCTTGCTTTTTGCCCCACTCTCATTCCTTAATTCTTATTTTGTTCACTTGTATTCTTTCAAAATTTGTCTTTTCTGTCTATTTTTCTCGCTCTCCTGAGTACAGAGTCAGGCAGCATTCTTTGGGCACATAACCGGAAATTTAGCACATTTAATTAAAGATCTGGAAGGACCACTTTTTCAAAATGTTTTGTGTTTTTCAGTGTTTAAGATGTAAACAAAGTCATTCAGAGTGGTTTGAAGTAAAGTGGTTCGTTATAGAGACTCAGATTTCTTCAAAGTGGTGGTGATGGGAACCAGGAGTCACAATATCTACATAGTTTTCTTTTGAGGACTGTTTTGCCTCACAATACACTGCATATACTCCTCCACCATGAATGGATGTCTGTTTTCTATCATCTCATTTATTGGAAGATATGTTAGAAAAAAGAAAAAAAAATCCCACAAACTTGCCCCAAATGTAGTCAAGCAGCCCAAACATGTTTGGTGTCTGAAGTTTGCTTCTTTGATTTTAGCACTAGAGCTATGAGGCTAAAGTAGCTAACAAACATTGAAAGTTTGTACCCCACCGATTATTGTCATGCCTAAATCATCACATACTTACCTCAAACAGTGTGGAGTTGTTCATTGATTCCTTACAGATTTGATTGTGTAGTTTCTAACTGCATAACACACTTACCTATAAATCACAAACTAAATTCAGTCTTCTAGATGGATACTACCATTTTTAGCTGTACTGATGTACTTCCACCCATTTTACTGTTAAAAATTGTGTAAGTTTAAACAGCTGAGCTTAGATTGCGCTCCTGTTTCAGTTTCTGTCCCCAGGAAGTTTGGACAGGTGTGATTCTTCTTCTGTTTGAGACGACTGGGGCTCAGTTACGCAACCATGGCAACAGTATTTTCACAGTACCCAGTGTTATGAAGATGCTGCGTCATTCGCTGTATCAGCAGATCACTGATACACACACTTCCACCACCACCACTGCTTCCCCACCTCCAACACAGCACACCGTTTCAGTCTTCAGACCCCATGCTGTCTCATGCATACATCCCTTATCTGTGTCTGTGGTTTTGTTTTATTCCTCTTTTGTTTTTCTCTTCACTCTTCTGGACACGGGGAGAATTCGAGATGCACTGAAAAGAAAATTGGGACCAGATCCACCTGCACTCGCATTGCAAAGAAATGTAACATGTATTTATATAACAAAATGCAGATATTTTAGTGCAGTAACTCACCTGTCACCTAAATGTTCAATAAATACATAATCAAATATTAGCCAGATCTAAACATCTGTCCAGTGCTGATATCTGCCCATAGCAGTACGATTCCAGTATTATTGTGCAGCCCTGTTGAGAATCAGAATGGCAACTTTTACTATACTAGGAAAAGTAATAAGAATATTTTAATAAAAATACTTCGTTCTATGTGGTATGAAAGTCAAATTTCCAGTACAGTAGTAGGCAAAGTTACAATATATAATTACAATATATAATCACTATTATATAATTAATATATAATGTAATTCCTAAGTGATATATTACCTGTTTCAGTAACGCGAATCAAATAAAGTGCTACATGTAAAGCAAGAGGAAATTGGCTGTTTAGCACATTAAGTCAAGTAGACATTTTGGTTTAGGTGTAGCAGCAGCATTCGCACACAGCACTTACCTGCCTTGCCTTATTTACACCATAAACCTGCGACACAGATCAGACACAATACATATAATAAACTTAACTGATTCCGATTGTGCATCCATATAAAGTACAACTCTATTTAAAACCTTACCTACATTCTGTATCTGTATATTGCTTTGTATTTTAGTCTCTCAGCCCACTAAACCATAGCATACATTATCACATTATTTCAGAATTTTTGTTACCTTCACAAAGCCTTAGTTTAGTTGTATTTAAATTTGCAGTCATTACATCCTTTTGACTCTCACTCTTATGGTCTAATACCTAAAACTTTACTGAATTTTAAGAATTAATTCTAAATATATTAATATATCATTATTTTTTGGGATTAGATGTTTTTGTTCTTTGTCACATTATATGCAATACAGCCCATCTTTATTTTTCCATACATTTTTCAATCAAGAAACAATTAAAATATTTATGCATAGGCATAAAATGTCAGATTATGGTGTCTTGTGTAACTATACTGAACATTTCACAAGAGAACTGTGATGCTTTTAAGAGCCAATTGCTTTTCCCCACCCAATCATCCATCTAGATGTTTATTTTCTCTGTATTTTATCTTAAATGTGTGGAAAGATGAAAAGATATCATCTTTCACACTGTAATAACCCGTCTCCCCCTCTTTCCTCCTGTTCCTCATTTTGCAGGTGTTGAAAGGGCACGATGACCACGTCATCACCTGTCTACAGTTTTGTGGAAACCGCATTGTGAGCGGATCCGACGACAACACGCTGAAAGTCTGGTCTGCTTTTACAGGAAAGGTAAGCATTCCTTTGTTGTGTTTAGTGTTTTTTTTTAATAATGATAATCTTTATTTACAGCACATTTTATTTTAGTTACTAAAGTGCTTTCTACAGGAGTGTAAGCTAAACATTACAAAAGCTAAAACAGTACAGTTTATCGTAGGGCGCATGATGATATCAGAAGCATTAGCTTGATACTGATTGAGCCGTTGGGGGTGTAGAAATGAGCATATAAACGGGCGCTACTCACAAAGGACAGGCTCCCACATTAAACGCTGTGGCTGATGTATATTTGTGATTATACAATTAAGAACTTCAAAAGATTAAGAAAGGCCTGGTATATCTCATGTTTTATTTTGTGTTGGAGCAGCTCACAGTAAAAGGTTATGGTACTCTGTGCTGAGTTCTCAGCTCCAGTCCAAACTGCAGATAGTCCTCTATGATAGTTTTACACAGTGAGCATTAACATATGGATTAAGTTTTTTTAGCTTTTAAATTTTATTACTAATAATTATTTTATTGCACATATTTTTCAAGATTAGCTATCTACTCAGTACTGCTATTTAAAAAACTGGAATTGAGAATATAGTTTAACTTAAAACATGTAGCTTTTTTCCCCCACAATAAATATTATGTTAAGCCTTGATAGTTACAGCTACATTAGAAATATAATTAACATGTACTGATATAAAATTTGTATATAGCCCTGGAATGAAATGGAAATGGGGTGCTGGGGTACTTTCCTCTTTTACAGGTGCTCATCTGTGATTTTATTGTCATCCAGATCGGCCACGTCAGTGTTTATTTTTCCTCCTCCTTTGAATAAATACAGGCTGTAATACTGTTTTCTACCAAACTCTGTGTTGCTCTGACCAAAAGTGGTCTCCTAGTGCATATCAAAGATATTAAACACTTCCCGAATTGCAAAACGAAAAATTCTGATGAATAACTGAATCATTGACTGCAGTCTGTGTTGTAAAACTTCGACTGCCTATGCTATACTAGGCTAACATCATCAGGAGAAGTTAATAAAATCAATGAGAAAAGTGAGATCCTGCAGGTTTATTATAGGAGCAGTTATCACGGCGGTTATGTGCAATATGATATTTTATTGTTATTATGATAAATTATGTCATAGTATGTATTTCTGAGCATATTGTGGATGGTGTCAGTACATGAACACAACAAATGCATGAGTCATTACAAAGACACCATTATGAGTCCTGTTTGATTTAATGCAGTGCAGAGTGTGAAATCACTGTATGATCATTATCATTGAAAGTTTTTGACAGTTTTTTTTTTTAACTGCTGGGGCTTTTTGTGTCTGTTCTAACTTATTAAATGTATCTGTTTCACTTAGCAAAAATCGATAATATAATAATTGGAACAGAACAAATAGAACCTGTAGTGCCACATATAAAAAAAATACTATGATAGTAATTGTATAATAATAATACAATTACACCTACAGTCATTTTTATTCGGTGTTTTACACACTGCACTAAATCTAATTAAGCAAGACTAATTAATGCTCAATTTGTAACGGAGCAGGTAGTCAAGTGTTCCCTTAGTACTGACTATATCCGCAATATGCTTAGAAAAGTATAATGTGACATCATTTGTCACGATATAGAATATTGTCCTATTGCTCACCCCTACTTTATATTCACATGCACAATATCAACTTTGTTAGGAAGTTTCTTTTAGAAAAAGCTTATTTAGAAATAATGAGCAGTTGTAATGCTGTAATGCTAAAGATGTAAAGCTACACTCTGCATTCTACAAACGTGCTTGTCCTGTGGTAGTTTTATTGCCATCCGGATGTCTGGAGTTTTATGAGTGAGATGATGTGTAAATCTCTCTCTCTCTCTCTCTCTCTCTTTCTCGCTCGGTAGTGGAGTGTCATGACACTGTTCTTCTCCCTGCGCATGTTACACTAGTGTCGCAGCAGATACATGGCTGTGAACTCGTCCGGAAAAACTCCACATTATTGTCCTCATCAATTATTCACTCCAGACACAGACAGACAAGTGATAGAGGATAGAGCTACTCACTCAGGGACAGAGATGTTCTCGCTCTCTCTCTCTCTCTCTCTCTCTCTCTCTCTCTCTAGTTCTCAGATTTCTCATTACAGTAAATGAGTAACTCACTCTAAATGCAGGTATTGTGACATAAACTAGTTCTACATTTTCTCCTTAGGTTGAATGAATGTTTGTGGGCGGAGCTTGGAGAGGGTAATGGATCTGAATACGTCTCCCGAAATTACAGTTCACCCAAAATCTCTCCATAAGTTAAATCCTGTTCATAGTTAAATCTCACCTCCAGCTCTCAGATGTGTACATTAGCAGTGCAGCAGTTCATGTTCTTGCAGGTTGGCTGTGTTCCTGCTGCAGCAGGGGCTGCGTAGGTGTATGTTTTCGTTCCGCAGTGTCGCCACTGCTGTCTGACGGGATACGTCACTGTGGCAGATGGCTTCAGCTCCACTCGCTCTAGGATGACTAGGGTCGTCTCCGCCTTTTTGGCCAGCCGCCACTTTCATCCACTCGTCAGACAGGGTCGTGCGGTAAAGCTGCTCTTTCACACTGATCAGGGAACAGCTTTCATTATTCCTAAAGCTGTAGTTTGGTGAAAAATCTGATTCCCTCCCCCTCCTTTACTCCGATCAGCCAAGTACGCACAAAATTCAGGCTTCAAGATGGCTGTTTTTACTGTGTAGCTATGCCACAGACTTTTGACCACGTTTATAGGTTTACGATTTGAAACGGGCAAAACATTTAAAAAAAAGCGCCACATTTAAAAAAGGCGCATGGTAATAAAGGAGTAAGGTAAAAATATGACATTATTTTCTGGTTGTTTAGAGGCTCTATATATTATGGCTGCTAATTATTGAATATTTTTGTTTTTAAATATTCTACCAAGTATCTCAAATATTAAGTGTCACCCTTGATAGTAATGTAATTCATCACAGTGATGAACCCATATCATCAAACTGCCCACCTCTTAGCCTGAAGGGTAGATGCTGAGGAAAAAAAGATAGCGGTGAGGAGCAGGTGGAATTAGCAGCTGTGGAGGAAAGCCTTTCACAGGGAGGAATAAATCAGGGCTGAAGCACAAACTGGGACAGCGGTGTGAAGACGAAAGAGAGAAGAGGAAAAGAAAGACGGGTGCGTGCGATAGGGTACAAAGAAATCTGTCCTGGCTTTCATTGACAGGCACTTCAAAAGGAAATGGTCTTTCTAGCCTAATTGGTGCTGAGGAATTCCCCATAGTGCACAGATCAGATACAGCAAGGTGCAGACTTTAGCTACACGCTAACCTTGATTAGCACGTACCAATTGTTTGGAGGGCTGCACTGTATGAACAGAATGAGTTTTGTGATTATATTGCTACATATTGTAATATTCCTCGCAATATGTTCAAACACATTGGTGAATATTCCCTGCTGTGATTGGTCAGGATGCTCACAGCACACAGTAATCTGCACTGTGGTTGGTTAGTGGCTCATTTGCCATCTGTGAAAACAGTATTGCAAAGGCTAGTATCATGAAAAAATAAAAAACGATATATTGTGCATCTCTAAACCCGATGGTTTTCCCAATAAAAGCTAGTCCTTTTCTTTTAGCTGGTCAGTGATAATAGCACTGCCTGTGTTGGTTGCAACAGGTCATGCTGACCTGAGAACCACCCCTCCCACCATGTTTAAAGTGATAGTTCAGCCATAAAAGCACATTACCTGAGTTTCCAAACCTTAGCACAGATGTAGTCAGATAACCGAGATGTTTTTGTTGTCTGAAGTTTGCTTCTTTAGTTTTTGCAGTGATGCTATGAGGCTAATGTGGCTGACATGTAATGGTAGCATGTACCCAGTCAATTAGCATTGTGCTAACAGCATGCATAAATTATGACAAACGGTGTGTTGTTGTTCAGTAATCTGTAATAGACTTAATTATGTGGTTTCTGGCTCTGACACACATCTATAAACATGGACTAAATTCAGAATGACTCCTACTGTTTTTAGCTTTTCTGAGTCTATGATTTGCATGGTCAGCACTTCTAGAATACTGATGGCTGCCTATTATGGTGTCATTTTATTTTTTTAATAACTGAAATATGGCTGGAGCATGTTACCTGTTCAAGATTGTTTAAAAACAAAATTGATATAGTAAAATGTCATGATGCTATTTTTACCACATCATTCACCCTTTTTGATAATGTGTCTGTATACTAACAGTGCTAATGGCCACCACTGAGGTTATTAAGTTATTTCATGTTAAATGTGGATTGTTCTCCTTATCTGTGTAGGCCAAGGTGCCTCCCTCCCCCACTCTTTCCCAGCATCATTCATCCTAGCTTTCTATACACCATTCCCTATTGACCTTGGGTGGGTCTGTGTGCTCTCTCTCAATTCTCGTTACTCTTCAGTTCATCAGCTAAGTGCCATAAAACCCCATGGACGCAGGTTCTGCCCATATATTCTCTGACCAAGACCCACACAGTCTCAGATAAAGATCAATAAACCCATCTAAAGAGACTTACTCCAGCTTTCAAATGCCTGTCCCTCAACTTCTACCCATATCTCCACTGATATCAATCCTGTAGTGTGTGCGTTTTTGTTTACATTTTCAGGGCTGAAACAGGCTTGACCTTGTAATGCCAGAAGAAAGCAAAAGCCCCTCAGTAAAGTACTCCAAAAACTACTTTTACAAAGATCTGTGTTTCCTTTTTTAAAGCAGAAAAAGCAAAAGCATTTCTTTTTGGGTCCTGAGGTCAAGATTAGGGTTAGTCTTTGGATTAGGCTAAGATATGTCTTACCTCCATGTAGATACTTAAGTATATCGTACATATACATTGTGTGTGTGTGTACATATGTGAGCATATTATTACATATATGTGAGCATATCACCTATAAGTACTGGGTACGTAGGTATATATGTATATAGGTAATATATATGAGACATATGACACTGTTCTGGTAAGGTACATGAACATGTTTGTCCATGCTTTCTTCACCACAATAT